ACGATATAATATCATTGTATAAGAAAAACGATTCTGAGTGGAGACGGTATGTCAGTCTATGTATAAGACATAGGTATTATATACATATCTATGGTATTAAACAAAAAATTGACCTATAATGGGTACCTATAATAAATTCCAAATTAATCATATCAAAATATCCATTAGGTACTTATAACGCGTTATACATCAACAAAAACCGTGATACTATCATAGATATATAATAGTACACTTTAGAAGTTTCAAGTATCCACGAATAATATTATTCAATCACAACAAAATAACTAAAATAGTTATTCTAGGTTTTATATATGTAATTTCGTCCAAATTTGAATTTAAAAGGTCTGTAAAAAATAACTGTGTTCATATATTTTTTAGATTTTTTGGTTACAGTTTGAACTATTTACGAGAACCTTTGTGTTGAATTTGCAATCCTTAGCTATAAAAACTGAACATTTTATAATTTATTAATTCCAATGATTGATAATTTTCGAGATTTTGATAAATTTTGTCAAAATTTGATCTTTAAATGCTTATAAAAAAAAACTGTGCCTATGTATTTTTAATATTTTTCAACTGATATTGTAACAATATATCAGGAGCCTTGTATTAAATTTTTACACTTTTTGGACCAACAGATAAAACTTAATTGATATTTATAGAAAAAAAAACTAAAAAAAATTGAAAGCTGTAAAGGTCCATAAACAGCTCAAAAAGAGTCAAAATATTTTCAAAATTGTATGGTGTATAGGAAATGCTAATATAAACATTCAGTGAAATTTTCATGTATCTACAGTTATTTGTTTTTGAATTACAACAAAATAAGGAAATCGCTACATGGGAAATCGAGTGAATATTCAATGTTGTAAAAATTTGAATTTCAAACGCTCATAAAAATTTAATTTGACTTTCTTTTAGACATTTTTCTTTTGATAAAGGTAGACAAACTTATAAGGAATCTTGTGTTTAATTTTCAAATCTTAGATTTAAAAAGAAAAATTTTCACGAATTCTTAACTCAAAATAATTTGCTAATTTTCGTGATTTTCCCATATTTTGTCAATTTTTGAACTTTAAATGCTTATAAAAAAAAATTGTGACTAAGGATTTTTAATATTTTTCATCTGCCTTTGAAACAATATATTAGGAGCCTTCTATTAAATTTTCAAGCTTTCGCAACCAACAAATAAAATTTTATTGATATTTTTAGAAAAAAAACTAAAAAAAAATGGAAAATGAAAATGTCCCTAAACAGTTCAAAATAAATCAAAATATTTTGGAAATGTTTTCGTGTATAGAAAATGCAAATATAAACAACCAGTGAAAATTTCATGTATATACGTTCATTTGTTTTAGAGTTACACCAAAAACCAAAATCGATTTTTTGGAAAACCAATTTTGCCTAAAAATTCCCGTTTTTCCTTAATTTTTATGTTGTTTTTTCCCGGCGCTTGTGAAAACTACTGGGAAATTTATACTTTTGACCCCCCAAAGTACCAACTAGATTCACTTTCCTATCAGAAAAGCTACTGATGAAGAAAATCCAAGCACTTTTACTGTCCTAAAACGTGATGACAGACACAAAAAAAAATAAAAAAATAAAAAAAAAAATAAAAAAAAAAATAAAAAAAAAAATAAAAAAAAAATAAAAAAACACACATCATTGTAAAATCAATACATTCATCGTTTCACTCAGAATCTAAAATAACACAAATTGAAAATATCTGATGCCCATAAATAGCTTAAAATTTTTGAAAATTTTAAGAAAATTATAGTATAAAAACTCGATGAAATTTTATTGCCGAATGGGTGGGCGTGTGGACCATGGATATTCCTAACGAATTGTTTCGAAGTGTCGACTCGTTTCGAGTTTATAAAAAAGAATTTGATCGGAGAGTCACATTATTATTTTTTGAATTTCAAATTTGCACGCTATTCAGCTATTTTTACAAGCATTTAAAGGTTAATTTTTGACAAACTAACTAAGGTAAACTTGCAAATTATTTTATTTATGAACATTTAATACAAGTAGGTTATACTGAAATCAAAAATTATAAAAAAAAATATACATGCACAAATTTAAATTAGACATTTGAAATTAAAATTTGGACGAACTAGATATTTAATCAAAGAATAATAATAATTTTCGATACAATTCAAAAACATTATTCGTGGGGATTTAAAACTAGTATACGCATTACGCAATGATATTTTCTAAATATTTGGAGTTATTACAGTATTGCCTATATGGCTATATCCAGCGCGAGCTAAGTAAAAAAAAAAATCAATAATTGTGTGACCGTGTGTGTATATTATATATTTATATCGAAGCAGGAGTTGCCTATTTAAACTGTAAAATACGGGTAAATTTTTTATACGACATAACTAATTTTCTAATGCATCAATAACTCCTAGTAAACTCCAAAACATCAGAAACATTGTATAGAATGTGCTTTTGTAAAAATCATAAAAATCGTGTTTAGAAATTAGGTTATAAATGAAAAATTATGAACTTTTTAATGGAAATTTATATTAAATTCAGAATCACGGCAGCCGTCGTCGTAGCAACAGCGTTGCCGATGTTAGTTATCTAGTCATCGTTGAAAATATGACAAAATTACAGTTCTTATACCTAGATCATTGCGTAAATACTCAATATTTACACAAACAATATTGTTGTCCGTACTTTATACAATACACTATAAATATAATAAATATATATACATTATCATTATTTGCATTGATAATAAAAATTTGTGATATCTCATCAAAAACCCTTCTTAAACTATGTGTAAAAATGTCTAAGTAAAAAAAAAATAAGATCTTTAGGCACTATAAATATGTGATATCGTGAATATTGAATCTAAGTTAACTTACTGTGTTTCAATAATGTATTTGCTGGGCGAGGAATTATTTAGAATAGCATATAAATATTAATAATAATAATATTTTTAAATAATAATAACTGATATTTTAATATTCCTTCGCCATTTAATTATTTTGTTCACCACACTTTGTTTCTTTTAAGAAATAATTCCTCGCTAATTAAATAAATTATTGAAACACAATAAGTTTACTTAAATTCAATATACTTTGCATTTATTCATGGTACCACATCTTTATAATGCTTAAAGATCTTATATTTTTTTTACCTAGCCATTTTTACACATAGTTTACAAAGGGTTTTGGTTGAGATCTATTTATACTGTCCTATGGTAAGGCGGTATTGATTTAAACGTTAATAAGTAATAACACTATAATGATATACCTAATTAATGTACACTATTATAATAATTAAATAGTAATAATATAATAAATGCTTTATCTTCTGCACATATGTAATCAACCACAATACTGATTTTTCTAATTTTATTTTTTTATAACTGAAATAAATTACTTTAACAGCAATTTGAAAAATTATATCATAAATCATAATTTATGATATAAGCTGACAGAGCGTCGTACAGAATTATTTTTTGTCATTGAGTTGTAATCCAACACATCCTTTATATTCGCTCCACAGAGCATAGGCGCAACTAAACCTCTAAAACGCTGGGAGATATAATTTTAAATGCCTCACAGAGCTGTGGCTCTTCGTTATTAGTTATAACAAATTAATATTTAATACTAGCTGATCCCGTGTACTTCGTTACCCGTTAAATGTACCGAATCTATATGACTCAAATTTTGTTCAATTCGTTATTTAATATTCAGTGTATGGTGTTCAAAATTTATCTTAACTTTTCCGTTGCCCGCAATAAAAATTCTGATTTGCAGCAGTATATTATCAGGTAGGCAATCTACCTGCGGTAAATCGCGGACCCCATGCTGTTTATACGTAAGTCGTAAGTGTATGATTAAACTCTAAAGTATCAAAGTTATACCAAGTTTGTTGTATTCCACCTATGGTGGATTAATATAATCAGTTAATACAAAATCCTAACCGTACTAATATCAGATGAATAAAAAAAAAACAAATCTAATCATTTAAAAATTAGCCTGTCTTCTTCCCAGAGGTCAAATCTACACACAAACATTCATTTCTTTATATATATATTGACCAAAACAAAATACAAATCAACAAACATGCCTGATTAACCAATATAAATTATAATACACTGTTGCGCCACTGTTGTATTTTTTTCATCCAGATTTCCTACTTTTCCGGTTGATTTTCCTACAATTTTCTTTAGTATAAATCTTCTCCTGGCAATTAGAACATCTTAAAAAAAATTTGATCCAAATCGGATCAGCCGTTCTCGAGTAAAAAATAAAAATAAAACAATAACAATAATACATATCAACAAACATAGGTACCCGATTAACCAATAGCAACCAATATACAATACACATTAATAATTTTAATCTGAAACTAATTTTTTTTCTGGGCGGATAGCGTCACTATTGTATTTATGACATTCAAATTTTCTACTTTTCCGGTGGATTTTCCTAAAATGTTCTTTCGTTCCAATCTTCCCCAGGTAATTACAAACATCTTAAAAAAATTTGAGCCAAATTGGTCCGGCAGTTCTCGAGTTTTAGCGAGACAAACGAACAGCAATTAATTTATATATATATAGAAGAATATACTATTGCTTTAATTTTTTTTAAATAAATATTTTGTAATTTAAAAAAAAAAAATTGATGATATTTTATTATAATAATAGTTACTAGTAGACCTAGAAATACGAGGGACTCTGAAGACCTTTATGCACCACCCTACTTACGCCAATGCCATGCACAAAAGACAATGTCCAAGATCTACACTAATAAGAGACAAAAAAAAAGGCAAAGCTTAACATAACGTGTATGAAATGGTAGAACTATATTTTATATTATACACAGTTAATGGAATAACACCAATATCATTATAAAAATTTAGTACCTATAAATAAATTATAATGTCTAAAAAGTAGTGTTTAATTATTAAAAAAAAGTATTGATAGAAATAAGTATAACAAAATAAACATCAGTTTTCTTAAATCTAATTATCTTATCTGTTTAGGGTAAGAACTTTATATTTTGTTCACACACAATGGACATTCCCCTAAAAATAAAATTTATATTTATTAAAAAACCAAAAAAATTATATAAAATTGTTGTGCTTAGAATTTACATGAATAAACTTACTCATTACTTCTTTTCACTTCATAATATGTATCAACCATATCTCTGGCAGATAATTTACGTAAAAAATTTGGATCATGAGTAATGATGAGTAATTGGAATGATTTTTGAGAACTGCGACGTGTTATAATTCTGTAAAAAAAAATTAAATTATTGATATTAAAACACAAACAATACTGGTTTTGTTTATTTAACATACTCAGATAATGATTCAGCTAAACTTTGAATGTTAGATTCATCTAAATTTGTTGTAGGCTCATCTAGTGCTAATATACCACAATTTTTACTGAAAGTTTCTGCTAATGCCATTCTTACAATTAGGCATGCCAAAACCTAAAATATAAGAAAACAAAAATCAGACACATATTAAAAATAAAAATGGGTTTACTTCTACTTTTTGGCCTGCGCTGCATCTTCCTCTCATATCCAATTCAACATCATTCTTTATCTGTACGACTCTATAGTTGAAGACCCTTTTCTTAACTAGAGAATATACATATTTAGTTAATAAAACTAGTTTCAAAATAATAATTTACGTATACAAGGTGATTTTTATCATGAAACACTCATTATTTCAAAAAGTATTAATGTTTTTGAAAATATTTTTTTACATAGTTTCAAGTTGTAAAAGAAGTGGGTAAGTGGATAGAGTTAAATTTGAATTCAATGATATAATATCATTATATAAGAAAAACAGCTCTGAGTAAAAACGGTTAGTCAGCCTATGGATATTAGTATATCTGATATCACTAAGTATATTTGATGATATTATTGTGAATAAAGTAATTTATATATTTACTTATCTACGTGGAACCTTGTTTTAAATTTTCAATCTTAGCTATAGAAGTTGAACATTTTAAACATCTTTAACTACAAAATAATTATTAAATTTGAAATTTGATAAATTTTAAAAAATTCGAATTTCAAATGTAACTTACAAATGTAACTTTCAAAATAAAAAAAGGTGGGTAAGTGGATGTCGCTCTGCTGTACAGTAGGTTACAAGTGGGTCACTGTATAATGAATATTATTAAATTTTAATTCAATGATACCATATCATTGTATAAGAAAAACGATTCTGAGCGAAGATGGTATGTCAGTCTAGGTTTAAGACAAATTATATACATATCTATGGTATTAAAAAAAAAATTGACCTATAATAAATTCCAAATTAATCATATCACATTATCACAATATCCATTAGGTACTTATAACACGTTATACATCAACATCAATAACAAACCCTGATACTATCATAGATATTATATAATAGTACACTTTAGAAGTTTCAAGTAGGTACCCACGAATAGTATTAGACAATCACAACAAAATAACTAGGTTTTTTAATATATAATTTCGTCCAAATTTGAACATAAAATGACTATAAAAATAAACTGTGATTGTATATTTTTAGATTTTTCGGTAAGAGAATTAACTACTTACGTGGAATCTTGTTTTAAATTTTCAATCCTTAGCTATAAAAACAGAACATTTTATAATTTATTAATTACGATGATTAATAATTTTCGAGATTTTGAAAAATTCTGTCAAAATTCGATGTTTAAATGCTTATAAAAAAAAAATTGTGCCTATGTATTTTTAATATTTTTCAACTGATATTGTAACAATACATCAGGAGCCTTGTATTAAATTTTTACACTTTTTGGCCCAACAGATAAAACTTAATTGATATTCATAGAAAAAAAAACTAAAAAAAAGGTGGGCAAGTGGGTGTCGCTCTGCTGTACAGTAGGTTACAAGTGGGTCATTGTATAATGGATTGTATTAAATTTGAATTCAATGATATAATATCATTGTATAAGAAAAACGATTCTGAGCGGAGACGGTATGTCCTTCTAGCCTCTAGGTATAAGACATATTATATACATATCTATGGTATTAAAAAAAATTGACCTATAATGAATTCCAAATTAATCATATCACAATATCCATTAGGTACTTATAACGCATTATACACCAACAACAAACCCTGATACTATCATAGCTGTATATAGTAGATTATTTTAGAAATTTCAAGTACCCACGAATAATATTATACAATCACAACAAAATAACTAAAATCGTAATTCTTGGTTTAAATATGAAATTTTGTCTAAATTTGAAATTAAAATGTCTGTAAAAAATAAGTGTGTTTATATATTTTTTAGATTTTTTGGTTACAGTATGAATTATTTAAGAGAATCTTTGTTTTAAATTTTCAACTCTTAGTTATAAAAACTGAACATTTTATAATTTTTTAATTTAAACGATTGATAATTTTCGAGATTTTGATAAATTTTGTCAAAATTCCAACTTTAAATGCTTATAAAAAAAAATCGTGCCTATGTATTTTTAATATTTTTCAACTGCTATTGTAACAATATATCAGGAGCCTTGTATTAAATTTTTACACTTTTTGGCCCAACAGATAAAACTTTATTGATATTTATAGAAAAAAAAACTAAAAAAAATTGAAAGCTGTAAATGTCCATAAACAGCTCAAAAAGAGTCAAAATATTTTCAAAATTGTATGGTGTATAGGAAATGCTAATATAAACATTCAGTGAAATTTTCATGTATCTACAGTTATTCGTTTTTGAATTACAACAAAATAAGGAAATCGCTACATGAGAAATCGAGTGAAAATCCAATGTTGTAAAAATTTGAATTTCAAACGCTCATAAAAATTTAATTTGACTGTCCGGTAGAGATTTTTTTATTGATAAAGGTAGATAATCTTATAAGGAATCTTGTGTTTCATTTTCAAATCTTCGATTTAAAAAGAAAAATTTTTACGAATTCTTAACTCAAAATAATTTGCTAATTTTCGTGATTTTTCCATATTTTGTCAATTTTTGAACTTTAAATGCTTATAAAAAAAAATTGTGACTAAGGATTTTTAATATTTTTCATCTGCCTTTGAAACAACATATTAGGAGCCTTCTATTAAATTTTCAAGCTTTCGCAACCAACAAATAAAATTTTATTGATATTTTTAGAAAAAAAACTAAAAAAAAATGGAAAATGAAAATGTCCCTAAACAGTTCAAAATAAATCAAAATATTTTGAAAATGTTATCGTGTATAGAAAATGCAAATATAAACAACCAGTGAAAATTTCATGTATATACGTTCATTTGTTTTAGAGTTACACCAAAAACCAAATTCGATTTTTTGGAAAATCGATTTTGCGTAAAAATTCCCGTTTTTCCTTAATTTTTATGTTGTTTTTCCCGGCGCTTGTGAAAACTACTGGGAAATGTTTACTTTTGACCCCCCAAAGTACCAACTAGATTCACTTTCCTATCAGAAAAGGTACTATTGAAGAAAATCGAAGCACTTTTACTGTCCTAAAACGTGATGACAGACACAAAAATATATATAAATAAAAATATAAATAAAAAAAACATACATCATTGTAAAACCAATACATTCATCGCTCCGCTCAGAATCTAAAATTGAAAAATGAAAATATCCGTAAACAGCTCAAAAAGAGTCAAAATATTTTCAAAATTGTATGGTGTATAGGAAATGCTACTATAAACATTCAGTGAAATTTTCATGTATCTATAGTTATTCGTTTATGAACAACAACAAAATAAGGAAATCGAGTGAACATCCAATGTTGTAAAAATTTGAATTTCAAACGCTCATAAAAATTTAATTTGACTGTCCGTTAGAGATTTTTTTATTGATAAAGGTAGACAAACTTATGAGTAATCTTGTATTACATTTTCAAATCTTAGATTTAAAAAGAAAAATTTTTACGAATTCTTAACTCAACATAATTTGCTAATTTTCGTGATTTTTCCATATTTTGTCAATTTTTGAACTTTAAATGCTTATAAAAAAAAACTGTGACTAACGATTTTTAATATTTTTCATCTGCCTTTGAAATAATATACTAGGAGCTTTCTATTAAATTTTCAAGTTTTTTTAACCAACAAATCAAATTTTATTGATATTTCTAGAAAAAAAACCAAAAAAAAAATGAAAAATGAAAATGTCCCTAAACTGTTCAAAATAAATTAGAATATTTTGAAAATGTTATCGTGTATAGAAAATGCAAATATAAACAACCAGTGAAAATTTCATGTCTCTACGGTCATCTGTTTTAAAGTTACACCAAAAACCAAAATTCAATTTTCTGAAAAATCGATTTTGCGTAAAAATTCCCGTTTTTCCTTAATTTTTCTTGGCGCTTTTGAAAAGTACTGGGAATTTTAAATGCACCTCCTCAATGCACCAACGATATTCACTTTCCAATCGAACAAGATACTGAAGTCGAAAATCGAAGCATTATTTCTACTACTTATCGTGTACACAGACACAAAAAAAAAAAAAACACACATCATTGTAGAATCAATACATCATCGTTCCACTCAGAATCTAAAAATTGTGCTAATGTATTTTTAATATTTTTCAAACTGCTATTGTAACAATAAATTAGCTTTTTTACCCAACAAAAAAATTTTATTGATATTTATAGACAAAAAAAAACTCAAAAAATTGAAAACTGACAAACCCGTAAACAGCTCAAAAAGAGTCAAAATATTTTCAAAATTGTATGGTGTATATAAAATTAAAATATAAACATTCAGTGAAATTTTCGTGTATCTACAGTTATTTGTTTTTGAATTACAAAACAAAGAACAAAATCGTTTTATGAGAAATCGAGTGAATATACAATATTGTAAAAATATGAACTTCAAAAGCTCAAAAAAATTTGTCATGATTTGAATTTTAAATGATTATAAAAAAAACTGGGACTAAGGAATTTTAATATATTTCAAATATCATTCTAACAATATAGTAGGAGCCTTGTATTACATTTTCAAGCTTTTTTACCCAACGAATAATGTTTTATTGACATTCATAGAAAAAAAGAATAGTAAAATTGCAAACTGAAAATGTTCCTTAACAGTTCAAAACAAATCAAAATAGAAAACCAAAATTTTCTCGAAAACAGATTTTGAGTAAAAATTCCCGTTTTTCCTACATTTTTCTTTTGTTTTACACGGCACTTTTGAAAACTACTGAGAAATTTTTACTTTTGACCCCCCAAAGTACCAACTAGATTCACTTTCCTATCAGAAAAGATACTGTTGAAGAAAATGTAAGCACTTTTACTGTCCTAAAAATTTATAAAAAACACACATCATTGTAAAATACATTAATTTGTTCCACTCAGAATCTAAAAGATCGTTTTTATTAAAAAATCATATATATTACAATAATACAATATTGTTGTTATTAATATTGTTTTTTAAGGATTTTGATACGTTAAAATGGAATTTAGAAAGAGGAGTTTATGAGTGATAACTATAAATTTATAAGTATTTAAAGTAGTGGACAAACATTCTGTGGGGAACCCTGTACCACTCTACTACGCCCATCTAAACTTTAAATACTTATAACTCATAAACTACTCACCCTAAATTTGATTTTTATGAATCAAAATACATAAAAAAAAAATTTTCTCCTTTGGAATATAAAACCTAAAAAATATAAGGGAAAAAAATATTTTAAAATATAATTTTTTAATAAAAACGTTGTTTTTTTAACTCGAAACTATGTGAAAAAATATTTTAAAAAATATTAATACTTTTTGAAATAATGATTTTTTTCATGATAAAAGAATCACCTGTATAGTATACACCATACATAATATTATTTACTTGTATCTGTTTGTATTGGTTTATCATCAGAAGATGTTTTTATTTGAATATAGTCAATGTCGTTTCCAGTATAAATATCTCTCCATAATTTTTTTATAATAGTATTAATACTTTGCATTCGTTCTTTGTGAAACCTATTCATTGCCCATTCAAGAGCTTTGTTGTACTTTGTCAGATCTTTTTCAACGCGATTTAATATTTCTAACTGCACTTTTTCATGTAAATATATGTCTTCGGCATTTTTGAAATGAATAGCTGTCAACTCTTCTGTAATATGCCTAATGATATTATCCAACTCTTGTTTTCTACCAAGAGATTTATTTTTCTAAAATAAATACATGTTAGATTTTTTAAGATAACTATTTATTTTAAAATAGGCTAATATTACCTCCTCAACTAAAGTTCGACGTTTATTTGTGTTTGTCGATTTTTCACTTAACAAACTGTTCACATCCATAGTTCCAAAATCTTCATGAAATTTGTTTATTTCAGATAAACATTCAATTTCTTCCTTTGATTTTTGCCTTAATTTTTTATTGTTTTCTAAGTCAATTTTTTTAACCTAAAGAGAACAAATTTTAGTAAAATAATGTGAATAAATTTCTTAATTTTAATTGTTAATTAAAATCAATTTTTAGATTCTGAATGAATATATTTTATTTTACAGTGTGTTTTTTTATTTCTGTGTCTGAAGCCACTCTTTTTTGTAAAAAAAATACAACAATCCATTCTGAAAGTGGTATCTGGTAACATGTTAGATAAGTTGATACACTGAAGGTAAAAAAAAATATTCCTAGTGCTTTTCAAAATTACTTTTAAGTGTCGGCCCCACCAAAAACTGTTGATATCGGTATGTTAGATATTGACATTCTGACAATTTCCCATTGCTATTGACGTTAGTGGTTTTTACCTTTAATAGCATTGTTAAGTTTTTTGTTTGTTGTTAAATAATTATTGATATTTACATTTTTTTCTAATCAAAGTTTATTTGGAAAAATGAAAAATACCTAAAAGGTGAACTTTCCAGAAAAATAACATGTTAAAAAAAAAATTTGAGTGAATTTCTGTTCACCCGGAAAAGCAGCATTTCAAAATATTGAGTGGGTGTAACCCAGGTTTTTTTGGGCTTGACTTTTCATGAAAACGCTGGTTATACCTGTACTTTAACTAACAATGTTTTATTTATTATATAATACTAATATTAAAAGTAAAAATAAAAATTACCTCTTGATTGGCATTATATTCATTAATAGAATCAATTTGTTTTTGTAAGTTTTTCTGTTCTTCGATGTAATTAATTTTTTCTTTATTGAGATTATTCAATAAATTATTTGTTTCCTTAATGCGCAGAGTAAATTCTTTTTTTTCATAATTATCAATTGAAGACTGTAAGTTATTTATTTCTTGAATTTTTTTTTCAAGAATAATTATCTGTAAATAAATAAATTATTATATTGAGAGTTTGATAATTTATAATAGAATACACTATTACTTCTTTTCTATTATTTTCAATTTGTCTGCTTTGTTGTTTTTTTGTTTGTTCAAAAGTAATAATACATGTATCCAACTTCTCTTGTATTGGTTCTAATGTTTCTCTGGCACTATCCAATTCTAAACTTATTGTTGCTTCAAGATTCTGTAAATCGTTCAATTTGTCAATTACGCTCTTTTCATCTTGCATTTTACTTTTTATATGTAATTCATCACTAGTTATTTTATTTTGTTGCGTTTGTAATTTATGTAACGTTTCAGTATATTCGTTTAATTCATATTGTTTTTTTTCTAAAACATTGCAAATTTCATTTATAGTGCTCTTCAAAGCATTCCTTTCGGAAATTGCTTCTTGAAGATTTCTAATGGAACCAGATTCAGTCATTTTTGTTGTTAAACGCTGTTCTTCTTTTGAATATCGTTTAACATCGTTATCAAAACTATCAATCATTATTATATCAGATTGGATATTTTTTGCATTTGTTTCGTTAGTTTCTAGTTTTCCATTTTCATCTGATAATTTAGTTAGTTCATCACGACATTTTCTTAAATTATTACTTATACGTTCAATTTCATCTCTATAAGGAAAAAAAAGTTGTAAAAATGTGTAAATATATAAATAATATTAAATTAAATAGATTTACTTGAGATTAGGTATTTCTGTTTGTTTCAAAACTGATATTCGAGTGTAAGTAGGTCTTAATTGTTGAAGTTTTGATTGCTTTTCTAAAAGTGTTTCCAATTGTGCAATTGTTGTCTCTAATTCACTTGGAATTTTGTGGACTCTCATATTTAACTGTAATAATAAATAATAAGTAATAACTATGTACACTTTAGACTTCTATTTTCAATAGAGTTATAATTTTGAACCTTACATCATTAATCAATTCAGTCACTTCATCAACAGAACCAAAGCATCGATGGCATAACGGACAGCTAGGATCCTGAGCTTCCAAATTTTTTATGTATCGCCTAAAAAGATGACCAGAAGTTGACACAGAACCTTTTTGAGCCTATAAGAAAAATATACATATATGCCTATATATATTTAAAGGAGCACACAATAGAAAAAAAAATGTTCTTTAAATTTTTTTTAAATGTTAAATTATTGTAGGTATGGCTATATTAAATGATTTGGTGAAAATACGATGTAAAAAAAATGATTACTTTAAGAGTTATTGAAAAACGTAGAATAGCCACGTGATGTCATTGAGCCCAGCTCATTGTAAATGCCTATCTTATACGTTTAAAAGTTCCTCCAGTCACACAAAGATCTAAAAATTTTATTTTTGAAATGAAGTTTATGTATAAATGGGTGATTTTATGTATTTAAGACGATTAAAATATCAAAAATTCAATATAACGTTTAGATTTTTAAATATTAATAAATCTTTAAAGTGATATTTTTGTTAAGAGGATGTCACACGCGCATGTATTGTCTCAGGCTTACAAATGTACAACATAGCAAAAACTGTTTTGAACGGGACAACTTTTATCTTACTGTGTTTGTAGTAGTGGCTCCAAAATTTCTGAACATATAGGGTGGAAAATTATCTCTGCAACAGTGTGCCCATATTTAATATAACATAAATACAATAAATGTTATTTGCTTCTAAACATTTGGTTTTATTGTTTTTTTCATTGACTTATAAAAAATTATTGGATATACTCCGTGCCACGAGAGGAGTAACCCGTTTCCCGACCAAATTGAGGTTGAATCCGCGAATCCCCCACCTATTTGACATGTCGACGTTGCGCGATCACGACCGTCAACTTTATATAGTAATACTATTAGTATGTATCATGTTGTAAAGTGGGGGAAACGGGGCCTCGGAACGGTCGCTGCCGTCCGTCTGCATGCGCTTAGCGGATTACTTCTCTTGTGGCACTGAGTATAGTGCTATTAAAAAAAAGAGCAAGCTGTTGCACAGATAAAGTTCTTCTTTACATGTTGTGAACATTTGGGAATTCTACAGCAAATATGGTGCGAGAAAAATTGTCCCGTGCAAAACAGTTTTTGCTATTTTGTACATTTGTAAGACGGAGACAACACACTCGGATGTGACTTCCTCTTAAATGGCGTGTGTGTCATGAGAACTCTATATGAGGACTATTTAAAAATTAAATAAAAATTCAAATATATCTTTTAAGATTTTTAATATTTAAAAATTGAAATTCTGATACTTGTGTCATCTTAAGCACATAAAACCACACATTAATATGTAAATATTTTTTTAGGTTGGTAAATTGATGTGTGAAGCGAGGAACTTTTAGACGTATAAGATAGGCAATTACAATGAGCTGGGCCCAATGACGTCATGTGTCTTTTTTAAATTGCTCATAACTTATTGAATAATGTGAGTAGAAACGTAAACCCTATACCATTATTCTTAGAATTAAACATGCTTTCAAATTAAAACAATATCCTTAAAAAAAAACAGTATAAACAAATAAACTACTTACTTGCAATTCTTCTACTTTTTCATTGACTTCTTTTAATATTGTTTCATATTCTTGACCTTGACACATATCACTTAAATCATTCTCATCATTGGAAAGCTCTATTTGTTTTGTACGCAATTTTTCTTTTGTGTGGTTATAATTAGCTTCTAGTGTAGTTAACTGTTTCTGTTTTTCAGCTATACTTTTTCGATTGCATCTAATTGTATCAGACTAAATTATAAAATAATTAAACAATTTAATAACTGTTTTAAAATTATTTAATTATAAGTATATATTTATGTATCAATACAAAATACTCACTAATTTATCTAAAAATGATGTAAACTCAAATTTGAGTTTTTCCTGTGGTATAAATCCAAGTAGATCTTTTAGCACACCATTCACTTTGTTTTTACTAAACAAAAATAAAAAATATATTTTATGTGTAGTTGAATTTTTAATCATTAAATACTTCTACTTACAGTATTTTAAGTTTATTATCGATTCCAGTTTTGTTTAATAAAACAGTGTCAAGTTCTGCTTGTACAATACTTAATAACTGCAACTTTTGTACTTCTTTTTCTATAACTTCTAGTTTTATATTTTGTCTACAAATTTTAAAGAAAGTTAATCAAATTTATAGCATAAATTATTGTACAATTAATAATTATATGTATATATATAAATAAATAAATAAACATAAATATTAAATAGTATTTGACATATTTACTCATATTTTTCACCCTTTTTCTTATTTATTTCTGTTTTAACATCATCAAAATTTAAAGATCCCCTGAGAATATTTAATTTTGTTTCAATATCAACTTTTAATTTCTGTAGAGTTGATAACTTTTCGGCAGAATGTCTTACCTTGATATTATACAAAAAACATCAAGATTATTATACAATCACATTATTTTGACTATAAAACAAAATTAAATTACTTGATCAATATCTTTTTTAAATTTTTGAATTTCAGAAGTATTTTCCAAAATTTGTTTTTCTTTGATTTTAATTTCTTGATCTAACTTAGCTTTTTCTACCCTTATTGAATCAATATTTGATTGCAACTTATTTTCAATTTCTCTGTGTTCTTTTTGTGTAGATTCTAATTTATCGTTCATACAATTTAGGTTAGCTGAAAGACTACTTATCACCTGTGCACGATTGAACTCAGTTAAGTCTGGCACTAAACATACATTAATTTTAGTAAAATAAATGATTCAAAACTGTAAAATTAACTCAATACTCACAATTAATCTGCATTTCGTTTCCTAATTCAATTATTTTTGCATTTTGTTTATTTATATTGTTCAGGTTTTGTTTTTCTTCACTTTGATATCTTCCTAAATTTATTTGTTCTTTGCTTATATTTTCTTGAATTTTATTTTCATTAGTAATTGCATCATTTTTTTGACAACTTAATTTATATTTATCTTTTTCTTTTTGGCTATACACAAATAACATCATTAATTAGAGATAATATCTTCAACTTAATACTAGTGAGTGACAGAATAACTTAGGGATATATAGATATATATTACAATTAAGGGGTAAATATCACAAGAGATTTAATCAAATATTTACTTACTAGCTAGTGTTTTTTATTTTTAATTTTAATATTAAATTAATCATATGTTTAGAAAGTTACATACAGGCCTAGCCCAAGATTATTTAACAGTTCTTATCTAATAAATACATAGTTTTTCAAGTAACTTACACCAAATTATTATTAAAATTTTCTAGTGCTTCATCAAGATCCGAGTCATTTCCTTTAAACTCTACCTTAATCAATAATTTCAAATCCTTTATGGCTAATCTAATAGATTTAAGATTTCCTTCAGAAGTTAATAATTTATTTTTTAGAGAACAAAAATGTTCTTCTTTATTCATAATTTCCTTGTATCTTTCTTCTAATGGAATCATTTCTTTGTCAATACTATTCAGTTTATGCTGCAGTTCATCGAAACTACATTTTTTATTTTCGAGGGTAGCTCTTTTGTTACGTGCTTCTTCTCGATATTTCCATAAATGTTGTATATTATTATTGCATGCCCTTTTATCTAAAAACATTTTATTATAAATATTAAATAGTAAAGTAAAAGTACTAGAATAATTTTTGAGGGGGACAGAGTGGCCGAACAGACCACAGCGTTATTTTCCAGAGACAAGTTTCAAATATCCCAAGTATTAATGCATTATAATGTATTAATATAATATAACTGATTATATTTCAGATCATTATTGAATATCTATTAAGTTTATCATATTACATTTCCTAGGGGACCCACCAGCTACTACCCACACCTATATTTAAGAAAAATCTCAGAGGCAATTTCTTCTGAAATTACCGTTCACCATGCCACTGAAACCAATAATAATACTGATCATTAGATAATAAATGCAAAAGGGAAATAAAACTTTTTGAAAATTAATAAGCAATTATCTAACACCTATACAATTATACATCAGAAACCTTACTAAGATAAGTAGGTATATCAAACAAGTTAACCAAAAATCATTTATATTGACATATTGTGTCAGGTATTGAATATATCATAAAGAAAGGCTATATTAGACCTTTGAAAATAAAATTTTTTATGTATAGACTTAATGAACACAACTGTACTAGGTTTCTATTATCATCATTCAATTATTTTATAACAGATTTTTTTAGATGGTTAGATATTTATGTAAAAGACTGATAAAAAACCTTTAGTAAAAATTGGGAATCTTCTAAGTGGACAACAACAAAGTAATGAAAGTCAAAAGTTAATCGTTGAGCTAGCATAAATGGAGTATACTAATTTCTATAGTCTTTACTCAATTCATGTGACAACATGATAAACATTTAGAAACCTCGGCCTATCAAACAGTGATTAAAGTTATAACTCACCTCCGTGAGTAGCCTTTATTTCTATTTGAATTTGTTTAATACATTTGTCATATTTTCCAACATCAAATATCGAATCAAATTTTTCTTTTACCTTCTTATCTTCTTCTAAAGGCCTGTAACAAATATTAGATTTTTAATTTTTGATTTCTTTAATATTGTGAACATTTTAAACATACCAATTAGAATCTTCTTGATGACAAAAAACAACATCTTTTAAAATTGATTTTGAAACACCTAAATAAGTACACATGACATCATCAAGATCAGCACATTTGTGTGAAGTGCTCTGACCCTAGAAATGTATGTAACATAAATAATGAATGAAAAAAAATTAAATAAAATTTTTTTTTTAAAAACATGTTTTTCTTAATACTATTTAATACATGAACGAAAAAGTTGAAAATAAACTTACTTTTAAAACAATTTCTTAATGAAACTTTAAGGTTATCAAGATATTACTAAAAGTGTTTCTAAAATGTATTTGTTGCAAAATTTTTAAAAAACTTGTGAATTACAAAAAACGAAAAGCATGGGGCACTTATGATAACTCCTATGTAAAGTCACTCTACAACTGAATCATTAGATAAACTTTATGATAAATATTTTAAAGATTATTGATCATACTTCCAATTTTGTAAGAGATATTCTTGACTCATAGGAGCCCCATGCATTTCGTTTTTTGTAATTCACAAGTTTTAAAAATTTTGCAACAAATACATTTTAGAAACACTTTTAGTAATATCTTGATAACCTTGAAGTTTCATTAAGAAATTGTTTTAAAAGTAAGTTTATTTTCAACTTTTTCGTTCATGTATTAAGTAGTATTAAGAAAAGCATGTTTTAAAAAAAAAATTTTTATTTTTTTTTTATTTTCTACTTTTTAGTGATAACAATAAATTAGAAACGAAGGATTTTTTGATTTTTTTTTTACAACTGGTCATGTATTGTCACCGACCCTAGACCTCCATACAAAATTTGAGCCTCCTAGGTCATGTAGAAGTGACTTAAATTGAACTCGCAAGATTTGATGACAACAGAAATGAATGAATGAAACATTGCAAGTTAAAGAAAAGCATATTGTAAATTGTAATAAATACAAAATACAATAGAATTGCAGATGTTTCAACCCGTAAAAAAAAATATCGGCCCTCTGATGTTTAGTTCCCGTCAATTTTAAGGTAGTACAATGTTGACATCTTAGAGTTATAGGACTTTTGGTCCTATAAATGGTACCTATATTTTAGATTTAGAGTGGAGTGATGAAGCTTAAAGTTTTGAAATTATGTTTATATTATTTGAACACTTTTTTTGGTAGAAAAACCGGTTTAAAAGATCAGTACTTGCCACAAGATAGTACTCTAGAGAGGTAATTTTCTGAATTTATTTAAGACTTTTAAAGAATTGGAAGACATTTCGTTACGGTTGCACTTAAAATTTAAATACAACTAAACATATATATTTTTATTGAGTCTCCATCTAGGAACTAAAGCTAATGCTGAACATCACACTAGTTCCCAGGCCCCTAATGTTTGTTTAATACTTTAATGCAGTAAATTGTATGGTACTATTAAGAAATGTAAATGTAATTTTTACAGCTGAAAAAATGAACAATGTCCGTGGTCACTTCAAGAACAATTTATGAATGTTGTTCAATTTTTAATAAATTTCATATCTATTCTCCATTTTCAAAACAAGATATTTTTATTTTTTTTACAATTATTCCTCGTATTATTCCATCATTGTATTATACAAGCAATTTTTTTTTTTTAAAGATACTGACTTTTCTAGAAATTGTTTGATCGAGCGATTTTGTAGACACAGTTGTTAACTTTTGAGTTGATTCCAAAGTCTTTGAAACCACTACACGAGTATCTTTAGTATCATGAAATGATAGTTTAACATTGCCTTTAACCTAAACATACACAAATAACATTACATTATTAAATTGTTTAAAAAAAAAATAAAAAATGTTTATTACAGTATGATGATCTGATAGTTTAGGATCCCAAACAAAACCTCCTTTATTTGCATTTCTTGGTAGATCTGAACATGTAATATATTTTAGACACTCAATTATAGTAGTTTTTCCACAACCATTTTGCCCCAAAATCAATGTTAGGGGTTTATGGAATTTTAAAGTTTGTTTTTCATCTGGATGATAACTTCTTATACCTTGAATTGATATTGATTCTAATGTAGACATTTTCTAAACATAAAAATATTTTCACTTTTATTTTAAATTGAATATAGTTCATTCAACATTTGTATAGCAACACGAGATAAAAACATTTTGGGGGATGGAGTGGCCGAGCAGACTATGACGTCGATTCCGACGTGAACCATCATCGGTTTGAATCTCGACCACGGGAGGCTCCTCTCTCTGGGCAAGCAACTGTCTAGATAGTTAGACCGCCATCCCCCGACCAAGGATGGCAGAAACCTATAGGTACCAATTTGAAATTTTGCCAAAAACCAAAAAACAAGTGTTTCAATCAACTGTTCCCCCCCTAAAAAAAATTTTTAAATCACATAATTAAATGCATTTTTTTAACTTTGTATAAAACTAAAATATAAAAATATGAAGCTATTATTATGTTTAATTATAAAAGTCAATTTACAGTCTAATTTTTAAAATAACCTAACTGAAACAAATGGTTCAAATTTAGGTGAATTGCTTATTTTTAAGTAATAACTTATGGTGTGGTACCAAATAGTACATTCAGTTAGTTCATTTGAAGTTTGAACTGGGAAAATTTGAAGTAGATCTAGGAATAATTAACTTTATAAGATAGGTACTGAAAATAACAAATTTTGTTTTATTGATATGTTTGTCGTGCCTATTATGTGCTGGTGGCTCAAATGCTCAATATAATACTTTTGGTGGTTAGGTTGGATGGTGGGAAAGTGGAATTTAACTTTTAAAACTGTACCAATTGGTAAAATGTACATTGGTGCCACTGCAGTCATGATAGAGTGCCAGCATCATACTAAGCATGGTGTACCGTATAAACCACATGAGATTCTAAGACTGAAGGTAAATTAACCAGTTATAGATATTAGAAGATCTTAAAATTTAAGAAATTATTTTAAATTTCTGATGTTAACCACATATTGACATTTCATAAAAACGTGATTCAATGAAACTTTACCACTCATAAAAAGAAAAGGTTCTTATCAAGAACTTTTACAACAATACAGAATTATTGCCTATTGGTGACAACTATTGTAATGGAAATTTGAATAAGAGCTGTTGATAGAATTAGAATTCTATTTAACTAATAATGACAAACATCATTTTGAACCAGTTATACAACAAATTTTCAAATGTGGTTAGTTTTCACAATAATTATATTTTATACTCACTAAATAACAATTGTCCAGAGAAATAGCTACAAATCTACCATGTGTTTAATCACAATAAATTCTTTCTAAAAAACCAGATTCAAAAGTCTGATTCTCATGCTCTCAGACTCAACCGAATGGTCCTGAATCAGAGAAATGCGAATTGAATTCACTAATCACTATTGAGTATTTGAGTAATGGACTAATGAGTTATTCCTTACCAAATTTTAACGGTTAAGAAAATATATAATCAACTATTTATCAATATCCAATGGCATACATCAAAATATGGACCAACGATAACACGTGTTAAAGTGGTTAGTGGATACCACGATCGGGTGCGTTCGACATGGGCGCTTTGAACCATATTGTTCTATGGTCAAACAAACCCGAAGTATACAAAATTCTCGTAAAGACAGCAGCCATTTTCTTTCCATAGCTGATAAAATAATGATAATATCTAGTCATGAATTTATCATAACCACGGTTTAAGATAAACCGTATATCTTAAACCGTGATCATAACAAATTGGTATTTATCAAATTTGTTTTGTGAAATTGAATTTTGGTAATAAATGAATAAAGGTAGGAAAATATATATTAGAACGATTATTAACGATTTTTAATAGAAGTCTATTAACTTGTTTTGATAAATATTTGTATAATTCGTATTAATTCCAACTGGAAAGAAAATGGCGGCTGACTTTACCTGTTTTTAAAGAGCCCTAGAGACACCGTCCAGGGGTATGAACTACGAGTGTACGACACTCCGTGAATTGGTCGGATAGGGCGATTCTGGCCTTGAACACTGTCTCCAGGGGGGCGTAGCATACATGAAATAGGGAATGGTACACAAGCCGACCCCGCGTGGCGCCTCCCGCCTACTTTAACCTAACCGGAGGTTCAGACTTCAGATAATAGATAAACAAGACCCCAATCAGCTGATCGAGAGTCGCTTCTATATAACCATAGATATAACCATAGAACAGTGATATAACAGCTGTTCTATGGTAAAACTATGATCTGTATAATCACTATCATAATATTATCACACTCCAGGAGAACTATCAAACATAGATCACGGATATAGTAATAACTAATATTGGTGTATGAACTAATATTAACCAAACTAAATAGTAAATAGTAAATACTAAATAGGTATCGTATTGTACTATTGTGACAAATGGAAAATATTGTGGTGTTGGTATACTTATTTTTTAATAATGCAATTAATTCTATGTACTATTATCGCTGTAGTGTATATAATGTTAAATAATAAATAGTATTAGTATTTCTAGTATTCCATTTTAAGCAACATTGGATCGTTGATTAAATTATATTTAAAAATGGAGATTTCAATGGCTTCAACCGACAGTGTTAAAGTGTTGGTTGTTGGAGATTCGGGTAATTATTTTAATGGCTATAATAATGTTCACATTTCCAAAGTTGTGATCAATACATTTTCCAATGAGTTATTTTAAAATAATTTTCTTCTGTTGTAATATAAATTAAGTTACTAGGAACTAACTGAATGTTAGATATTAATTCACTTAAAATGTGTAATTAACGATTATTACATCTTTTAACTTTTGATCAATTAAACATATTATGTTAAAATGTATTCAAAAAAATTTAGGAGTTGGCAAAACATGTTTAGTGAATCTCATGAGTAATAATAAAGTGGTAAAAAATCCTAAATGGACAGTTGGAGTAACAGTTGAAATAAAACTGTACAAATATATGGAAGGAACGCCTAGACAACGCAATTGTTTTATAGAAATGTGGGATATTGGAGGAAGTTCAAACCATAAAAATACTAGAGATATATTTTATAATACTATTCACGGTAAGATAATGTGATAGTTTTTAAACATTATTATTGATGATCAAATTACTTTTGTTTTTTTTTTCAACAGGCATCATTTTAGTGTATGATTTAACAAACCTCAAATCTAGTGAAAATTTACATAAGTGGTTGGCAGAAATTTTGAACAAGGATAATAACTCAAAATATAAATGTACAGATGGATTTGATATGGAACAATTGGTTGGCTCAAACAGAGTAATAAATAAAATATTTAAATTAATTGCAATAATTTAGTTTTCAGCTCATAATTTCAAATATTAACATTTAGGTAGCTAACCTAATTAATATTATTTTTGAATATTTAAAATCCTAAACTTAAAACCATTCATATTCAAACATGCTTTTATTGATTTGGTACGAAAATAAATATTTATTGGATGGTTAATTAATTATTAGTATGCTTTTTTGGTCAACTAAAAAAAATTAATTAAAATATAACTTAATATTTTTAATAATTAAAATAATTTTTATTAGGTACCTATTTTAGTCTGTGGTACCAAGTTGGATATGGCTCCAGAACGTGGTAAGAAGTCGCCTTCTACCGTCGCTGCAGAGTGTGGTGCTGATGAAATATTAATTGTAAATATTGCAATGTTTTATATTCTCATATAAAATATAAAACATGTATTACTGTGTATTGTTTAGAATTGTCATGATTCAAAATCATTGGAATCGAGTACAGTTGCATCATCAAAGTTTAACAACTTTTTAGATAGAGTAATACAAACAAAATATCCAATCAGTAACTCTAGTCCATTTAGTCAAGGCCTCTACTCAAGACAACATCAATACCAATCGTCCAAAACTCCACAGTACCCAGTTACTAGACAAATAATTTATGATGGTTCACCTACAATTAGTAAAAATACATTTTTCAATTCTAAAACAATACATAAAGACTGAGACATTTATAATATAAATTTAATACAATTAATTATATGCAACATTTTATAATTTGAATCACAGGGAAAAATTATAATATTTTATAACATAATATTTGTTGTAATGGTTAAGATCAGATGGCAAATTTGGTAGAATAGATTTCTGGTACATTCAGATCACTCAATTCAGTTAAGACTGAAAACAATTAATTTATCAACACTAACAATTTAATAAATAATTATATCTATAAGTGTTACAATGGTAATATAAGTTTTTTAATTCAAATAGAAACCCTTTTTAAATCATTCTAATATGTATTTGATTAGGAAGAGAAGAATAAAAATTGTTATCAATTAAAAACTTGATATAAACATAAATACCAAGAATATATTATATTGAATGATTTTAATTTAAGGTTTCAAGTGTAAGATATGGGAAAACATAATAATAATATTATAAAGGGTTAAATTAGTAGATAAAAGTTAAATTTTGGTATAATTCCCTACTTAAAATACAAACAAAGGAACTTTCTGAAATACCTTGTTGCTCTAATTATATGGTTTATATCGTTGCTCAGCATTTTCTTTTCGTTTTGACGACGATAGCAACTTTTTAATTGTGGTCCAATCTTCAAGTATTTCATGTTCTTTAAGGTTGTAGACTATACATGGTCCAGATACAATAACTGGTTTCCGCTTGGGTTGTACATGACCATAGGGTCGCCTTCCACGTCCACGTCCACTGCGTGTTAAACTACGACCTAACCAAAGAGAAGCATCTATATCTACTTCATTACGTGCTTCTTCTAATCGCTGAATTTTTTCTTCTAGATCAGCTTTTATAGTATCATATAAAATTTCCTTATTATTCTGAAATAATTAAAAAAAAATTGCTTAAACCTGAGATGACGTAATGTATTTTTTTTTTCAAATAATTAGGTTATTTTGGATTTTATATAAAGCGAATGATCAAAATATAAGGTAATTAGGTTTTAATAAAAAAAATAATAGTTTGTTATATTACCTCAAAATTTTGTCGTATTGCCTGTTCTTCGGCTTCATATTTATGTTTAAGATTTGTTAATTTGAACTGTCTTAGTACAGTTGCTACTTCCAGTCGAGATTTCATTTGATTTTGTAATTCTTGTAAAGGTATACGGTATTCTTTAGCCGTACCCAATCTCACTTCAACTAACTTATCTTCAACTTCTTTTATTCTTTCACGAAACAACCTACACAATGAACGTAGTATAGAGTATTAGAACACATTATCATTTTTCACTTTAAATTATGTATAAATAATTAGTCAATTTTTAAAATGAGTTAAAGAAACAGACTAAGGAAAAAAGGGAAAAAACTAATTTCAAATCAGTGGTAAAAGAAGTTATATTATTCGTTAATGAGTATTTGAAAGATTAAAAATAGTTTACTCCCATGGTTGGAGCATAATTTTAAATATTTTTGTTTGAAATTATTCTATTATTTTTATAATAAAATTGAATTAATTTTATAAACTTGAATTATGTCAAATAAAGAAGATTATAAATAATTATCGCAAAAACATGTATGAGTGTGTTTACAAGGTGGTTACACAGTGTTAATCTAAAATGTAATAATAAAAACTAACCTAACACATATTAATAATTTTCCGGATATTAGATACTATTAATAATTATTGATGATACGGTTGAATTTAGTTATGTTCAAATATCAAACCAAACCCTTGATGTTCAATTCGGTTTTCGAACTTGGTAAGAAAACAATTCGAACCAAAATATCAAGCATTCAATGGTACCTGGTACCTACTGTTCGAACTTGAAAACATTTGTCGGAATTTCTGGCTAGAATAATTCCAAGACCAAATATTTGTTTAAATATTAATTTTTCAAAAGTTATTTTTAAAAACTTAACACATTTGTGTTAGAAACAATGACTATTGAGAAATAATTGGATATTAGAATTCGCAGACCAATATTAATTGCTATTTTTGTTTTTGTCATAAATATTGTAAGGGGAAAAAAAACTATTTTGGGTAAACCATAGTAGTATTCCGCGGCCGTTGTTGATAAAAACATGTTTACGTTCTAAATTTATGACTTAACATGTAGAATAATACGAAAATTCAAAGTAAATTTGTAATTGTGATTGATTAAATTTGTACATCATAAAAATGTTGAGTTGAATTTCTTCTAGGTTTGGTTCGGGTTCAAAAAATATTTTAAAGTTCGATTTCAAAAAACAAGGTTCCTAGTGAGAGTCACTAGATATTATCAAGGAGAAGATGGTAGGAAAAAGTCTCAGGGGAAAAAAGTCTGTTTTCTAAAGATAATATCTAATAATTATGTTATCATATTATAATAGCTACTACCCAAGGGGCATTTTTCATAAATACTAAATGAAGGAAGGCATTACGGGTGGGGTGATGAGGTTGTCCCCTCCATCTATCAATAAAAAAAAAACTAAACAAAATTCAAAAATACATTAAAATTAAATTACATAGAAATGTACATTTTTCAAAATATCTTAGATACCATTACACTAACCTAATGTTAATAACCATTATTCATTACATTTTTAATCGTAATTACCCACCTTAATTAATAATTAACAAAATTATGTAATTTTAGTTTCTGAGCAGAGCGTTGAATGTAGTGATTTTATAATAATATATATTATTTCTATTTTTTTGTGTCTGTCATCGACTTTTGGGGCAGTTAAAATGCTTCGATTATTCACTTCATTTTTTCATCTTTTCTGGTAGGAAAGTGAATCTAGTTGGTACTGTAACTTGTAAGTTGTACTATAAAAAATTAAGGAAAAACGTGGATTTTTACGCAAACCAGTTTATTTTTGTTAACTCAAAAACTAATAACCATATACTATTAATTTTGATTGGATGTTTTTATTACCTTTTTGTATACACCATAAAATGTTCAAATTATCGACTTTTTGAGCAGTTTGAGCTGCTTATAGGCATGAGAACATTAATTATATTCCTTTTAGTTTTTATTTCACTATTGTTGATAAATAAAAATTTGATAGGTCAATATTTTGGAATATTTAATACAAGGTTCCTCATAAGTTGGTTTCGGTGGAAATAAATAAAAAATATAGAGTAAATCCATAATCATTTTTTACGAGCGTCTGAAGTTGGAATTTTGATAAACTTATGAAGATTTGAAAGTTTTTTTGAGTCATAGATTCCAAAATAAATTGTTATTCATATATCATAGTTGAACATTGAATACAACATTCATCATCAGTTTTCCTACTTTTAGCAAATAAAAAAGAGTTTACCGGAAAGTCAATTTAATTTTTTAAGAGGTTGAAGTTCACATTTTTCGACATTTTATATTTACCCATAAACTAAAGAATACTTATTTTGCTGTAATTCAAAAACGAATAACCGTAAATACTTGACATTTTTACCAAGTGTTGTTATCATTATTATTTTATTTACATGTTACAATTTTCATAATATGTTGACTTTTTAAAGCTATTTATGGAAATTTTAAATAAAACAATTTTTTATACATAAATTAAATATCAATTACATTTTTTTGGTAGGTCACAAAGCTAGAAGATTGAAATGTTTTTCTTAAGTACCTATTTAAACTTTAAATGTTGACAAAATTTGTCTATATCTTGAAAATCTGAAATTTATTTTGTAGTTAAAAGTTTATAAAATGTTTATTTCTTTATCAAAGGATTGAAAATTTAAAACAAGAATTTATTATGAGAAATGAGCACAGTTCATACTGTATTCAAAAAATGGTAAATATAATATATAAACACGGTTTTTTTTTTTTATAAATATTAGTTAACGTTGGACAAAATTAGATTTTCAAACGAAGAATAAATATTGGTAGTTATTTTATTGTAATTTTAAAACATTATTCGTGGGCACCTGAAACTTTTTAAAGTATATTATTATATTTTATACACACAATAACATTGGAAAAAATAACTCAACCTACTTTATTACAAATGTAGTAATGTCTAATAGTAAAATAAATTACTTTAATAGCAATAATGCAATAAAATAAAGTATAAACCTAGTAGTTACTAGTATAGGCAGACAAACGGTCTTCACTTACAATTTCTTAAACAATGATTTTATGTAATTGAATTCAATTTTAACACATCCATTGCAGGAATCACGGACAATTTCCCACAATTTTTTTAAAGCCTACTATTTAATATGAAATTATTTTTTTGCTTATTGTTTAATATTTTCATAAATATCATTAATTATTGATGAATATTTTTGATCAACTGAATTTCTTGAATCAAATTCACAAGCAATTAAATATCCAAACTGGTACATATTTAACAAAAAAAAAATAATAATATAAGAAAGGCTAAAAAAATATATGTTTGGAATTAACAAGAGAACCAGAAATCAAATGTTTTTTGACAAAATGTATCATTTTATATTAGTTATTAATAAAGTATATTTTATTTTAAACTTATTTTTTTTTTAAATTTATATTGTTTTAAGTAGTTCAGTTGATCAAACATATACCTACATTTATAGGTAATCCATTATATTTGTGAAAATAAAACATTTTTTTATATTTCATTTAAAAAAAAATAATTTCATATTAAGCAATAAATAGTATAAAATTATAAAATTCAATATTATAAATTATTGGTCAATAATAAACATTAAGCTAATGGCCAAACTTACCGGGCTTAGGTTCAATAAAAAAAAATTGGGGGGAAATTTCCGCATCAAAAATATATCTAGGGGAAAATGCCCTACAAGACCAAAAACAGTCTGGGGAAAAATGTCCATTTACCCCATTGCAGTGACCAACACTACACCTAATGTACAGCAGAGTAGTACTCACTTGCTCCCTTTTTAATATATATTATATAATGTATTAGGTATAGCTTAATGGAGAAGTATTAGAAACTGTAATGATTGCAATTTTTAATTATTATCAGTATCTAATCATAATTAAGTTATATCTTTTTTTCCATACTTCATTATTAGTGTCTTTTTTTCTAAATACTAAGAGAAATATAAGTATAAGTTACTAACATTTCTTTTAATGAATCAAAATATGTTTCAATAGATTGTAATTGTTCTCGGTACTTCTTATCTGATCTATTGTTCTCTTCTTCGTCCAAGTCTAAAGTTATAAAATGATAGTAAAATTGTTTTTATTAAATTTATATGAGAATATATGTTTTTAATAATTCTTACCTGAACTATTGTCAGTATCAGAATCTGAACTATTTGAATCTGAAGAATTGCTGGACGATGAGATAGATAATTCAGAAAGTTTTTTCTTATCGTAAGGGTCGTCTAAAACGTTTTCAGTACAGACAATTTTACGTGCTATAACGTTGGATCCACTTTCTTCGTATAATTTATCAGCTATTTTTTGAATTCTACTAGCAATGTCTGAATTATCACTACTGAAATAAAGATAATAATATATACTTATTAATCTGTAATATTTTGATGCTTAAACTTGTTTATTAAACATGAAAAGTAGATAATATATACTTGATAAAACAATATCAAAATAGAGACTCTAATATCTATTTAAAAAAATTTAAAATAGTATTTAAACATCAATAAATGTTTAAAAATATTTTTGGGAAAATACTATAAATTATTTAAATTGCTCAAAAAAAACAAACAAATACAATTTTATTATTGAAAATACGCATGTAAAAAAAACCACGAATTTTTAATTAAATTTTAAAAAGTGGTTACCTAATTTAATATTCTCAACTAACAGGATATTAATTTATTTAAGGTAAGTATACATATAAATATATAATAAAATGGTACCTTGTAGCAGTAGACATCGTTAGAAATCCAGAATTATTACTTAATTGATGCGTAATACATTGGTCTAAAATGTCCAATCAACGCGCATATTTAAACTTTATTTGAATAATGTATATTTGTAAAATAGAAAGTAACGTGCGTAAATTTAGCCTACTAAATCTACAGCACTTTAAATAATATATTTAAATTAATTAAATAATTAAATAATAAAATAAAAAAAATTATAACCAAAATAATTAAATAAGTTATATGTTATAACGAAGAGTAAAGCGCCAAAACGTAGAAGTGAAAGACATCTGACAAGTGACGTTAGTAGTCCAAACGAAAAATCAAATATGAAGAATAAATTTGTTTACTAACTAATAAACTAAACAGTCTGTGTTACAACTGAAATAAAATATTTCTGATAACGGATAACAGAGAACTTTGTATAATATGAAAAATATAGGTATACAATTGTTCTGTTAGATAATAGATTTACGTTGCTGGCTTTTTTCCATGACACATTTTGCGTGGACAACAGCTGCTGCCGTTTTTAAGCGGGATGGTGTTCGCGGTCATAGTGAGGCGCAAAAAATATCGACAATATCGAAATAACGATATTTTGAGAAAATATATCGATATTTTTGATGTATCGATATTTTGACATTTTTTGTGCATCCCTAGGTATATTGGCTATTGGTACCTACCAGGGGCGTAGGGTGCATGTAAGCACTGTAAGCACTGCTTACACATTAAATGAAAGAAAAAATAAATTTGATCAATCACGACCACGGCTTTAGATAGAATGGTTGCACATCGGGCTATACTACGCAATGTTAGAACGCGGTGTACGAGAGTTCTTATCTAACATACGAAAAAGTGAACTACTACTAACGCTCCCGGTGGTTGTTAATTGGAACCACGGCTTTAGATAGAAATATCCATAGACATAATATAGATGGACTGCGCGTTCCTCCCCCCTCGCCATCAATAAATTCAGCCATAATAACAAAACATGAGAAGGTAAAATAGCATGGATAAAACATTTTTACTGTTTTTATTCCAAGGTATATTTTGGTTTAATAAGAGTGATAACTGATAAGACTCGTGGTAACTATTGATTCCGTATTTCCGTATCATGGAGGAAAGCTGTTAGATAAACATTTTTCCATGATTATTTACCTTCTACATAAGTTTATTATTGCTGACATGATAAGGGCTGAACGCGCAGTCCATCTATATTATGTCTATGGAAATATCTAAAGCCGTGATTAAAATATTCTCATTTCCCGCCATAATATTAAATTATTGAATTTTCAATAATAAATATAAATATAATGTAATTGAGTTAATAAGTAACTTAATTATTATAATCACGAATCACTGCTCTCATGCTCTATCTATATAATAATTATATGACAATGTTAATATGTTTATGAATTATTTTGTAAACGAAATCAATAACTATGCGTATGAGGCAGCATAGCTACTCTAAAAATATTGAGTGTAAAAAATTAAATCGTTCAAAAAAAAAATTGTCAAAATTAGTTACTACTTAAATTAACCTTTTTAAAATTAAGTGTTAATACTTATGGATTAAGAAATAAATTAAACAAAAAAATATATTTAGTCTTGAATTTATATTATATTAATTTAATATGTTTCTCTTTTTGCTTGTTAGAGAATTTGGAATATTATAACTATACCAGTAAAATCCAAAAAAAGTATAATATTACAGTATATTATATGTATACCTATATTTAGAATAAAAAATATTAATTTTTACAATAGGCACTACGCACAAATTATGTGGATTTAAAAAAAAATTTGAGACGGGGTTATTGTGTATTGTGAAGTGACCATGCATAACATTGATGGATCTTCATAGCAGTTATTTTGTTGATGTTTTTTGTTAATTCACACTTAATTTTAATAGTTTGATATTTGTAATTAAAAATGTTGACATACCTAGTGGATAGCCTATTCTTTGTATTTTTAATTTCATAATTTGATGAGTTTGAACCTCTAATGGATTATCGGATTATACTAATTAGTACTTTTTGAATACAACAATATAAAATAAGATTACAATTTTGATGATGTATATGTAAGCAACTAGATAGCGGTGTAACGTAACTTTTAACAGATATCTGATAAGAACAATTGGTGATCACAAAATAATGACTCGTTGTGCAACCATTCTATCTAAAGCCGTGATCACGACTAATAGGTACATAATAAATGATTTTTAAAATTTTAATTTTATTTATAAAATATTTAAGTTATAGCTGGTAGTGGTTTTTGTTATTGTTAATTTGTGTCGTACGCTGTCTACTGATTACCAACTATTTTAAGAAAATCATCGATTGTAGGTCTATTTTTAATCCATTCTGTATTATGTTAACTGCATAATCATAATACGATATACAGTGTAACACATTCTGAAATTGCTTACGCGCAACGGCGCAACTGTTGTTTTCGAATAGTCTATAATGCCATAGTGGGGGTCACGTATTTAACTAGCGTTTGTAAGCACATTTGATTTTGCTTACGCGAGAAACAAGGAGCGACCAGTACGTAGCCCGACGCGTTGTAGACCGAGGTCGTTTTTACGTACACTGTCACTGTCATTCGCCTAATAGACTTTTGAAGTATTTATACTTAAATTTCTTTATTTTCTCGAATTTGATTTGTACAACTATAACTATACTGTACTATAGTATACTATAGTATATTTTTAAAAATATTAAAAACTTTAAAATGATAACATTTTTTTATACATAATATAAAATTAGGTATTTAGGTATAGTACCTATATTCTAATCACTTTTGAAAAAAAAATGTCACTGCTTACATCTTTTTAATACCCACGCCACGCCACTGGTACCTACAGCTGGCTACGGCCGCAGTATAATTCACTATCAAATACTACAAAATATTACGATATTAGGATTTTGGACTATACCAAAAAAAATTCGATATATCGTTGTTTTTAAGGTAATATTATCAATTATTGATATTGTAAAAATCGATATATCAATATAGCGATTATCGATTTTGCCATGGGTTTGCGCATCCCTACGTGAACAAGGTTTATAGCAGGTGCGGTTCTAGGACTACATTTTCGTATGGGCAATAGCGGATTTATAATTAGGTTTTAACTGAAAATAATATTCCTCATTTCCACTCCTTTCCCAAATAAGGGGCACCAGAAATTTTGGTATGGCCAGCTGCCCACCCTGCCCATAGTCCATACGCTAGAACAGCCACTGGTTTATAGTATAGATTATAAGCCTTGGGTCGTGGATTCGTGAGTCGTGGTTAGTTCATCGTTCCATTGTATGATTGTATCTTTTCAACGAAAATGATAAAAAAATCGTGATGGAACTTACAACTGCACAGTACACAGACTTCTATAGAAATCTGTATATAACCATAGAACCACGGTCTTAGATAGAACTGTGTGATAAAAAGATAAGAATTAAAGATAACGTTGGTTGTTTACTTAATATATAAGCATGAACATTAGAGGAAGGACGCCGAACTGTGTATATAAAAGTGGTCCGGAATTATCGCATTCCACCAGAATGCGCGTCGGACCGTAATGATGTCGTTTTTACATGTACAGCATACAGCATAGGGAATTTATTGGTTTTTTAATATTATATTCTAAATGGTGTAACTTATGAATAATTACTATAGAACATTTTTTTAAAACCAAATTGCCCTCGATCGAATATATGTGTTTCCAATAATATACGACTTTTATAAAAAAAGATATAGTTGTTGTCTCTTTTTATAAAAGTCGTATATTATTGGAAACACTTATATTCGATCGAGGGTAATTTGGTTTTAAAAAAATGTTCTATAGTAATTATTCATAAATTTCACCATTTAGATTATAATAATAAAAAACCATTAAATGTCCTATGCTATACAATATGTAAAAACGACATCATTACGGTCCGACGCGCATTCTGGCGGAATGCGATAATTCCGGACCATGTTTTTACGCTTCGTTCTGCTGTGTTCGGCGTCCTTCCTCTAATGTTCATGTATATAAGTTATATTATTTACTCAATGGTTGTTTCACTCGTTCACGTGTTTGATAGTTTGATCACAATATAATCTGTGGTATTATAGTAAGTTACTAGTTTGGTTTTGGTGTTTGCGTCTACTTCCAACTTGGAAGTTGGAACAATATCCATCACATTGTCTTAGTGCAGACTCTAATTATCTATTATTCTAAATAATATTAGAATATTAGTGAGTATAACCATCGTTCAAATATATATTGCATATTTTTTGAATATTTCAACCATGAGTTTAACTCAATTTACATTAATTATTTTTCATTTAATTCAATCAGTTTTTTTTTTCAGTTAACACTCATCCATCAAATTATGATGGATGTCTCTGTGGATGTTAATAGCGAGGCTAACGATAGCCTCAAAATGGCAAATCCAGCATGGGCAGATGCTATGAGCAAAATTTTAAAAACAAAAAAACGGAAAGGAAAACCTTTAGTATTGTCCAAGGCAAAGATCATTTCAGAAGCTGACCTTAATAAAATAAAACAAGAAAAAGAAGATGTAGATGAATCATTTGAAGTCGTAGATAAAGGTGGTCAGAAAGTTGCAGTACCAGTGAAAATTGAAGAAATTAAAGATGAAAAACCAGACTCAGAACATTCAGAACCAAAAATACCTAATCGAATTCGAGTAGGTATTACTTTTTGAAACTTATTCATGTTTAAATTCAAATAAAAGCAAATATGTACACTATACAGTGTATGCAGTGGCGCTGAATTTTGTTTTGGCATAATTCTGGTTTAGAAACCTGTCGATTTTTCTAATTTTCTCTTTCCCAAAATGAGAATGTTAAAAAAAAAAATCTGGATAAACTCCGTTTTGAAGTTATAGCCATCCAAAGTTTACGATTTTATGTTTATACGCATGTGCGAAACACTACTTTAATGATGCCTGTAGGAACTCGTGTTTGATGTTTTTTGGTAACAGAATTAACTACTTACGTGGAATCTGGTTTTAAATTTTTAACTACAAAATAAGTATTCAATTTTAAATTTGATATATTTTGTCAAAATTCGATCTTTAAATGTTTAAGGATTTTTAACATTTTTCATCAGCCTTTGGAACAATATAGTAGGAGCCTTCTATTAAATTTTCAAACTTTTTTAACCAACAAATACCTAAATTTTTATTGATATTCATAAAAAAAAAACTAATAAAATTGGAAACTGAAAATGTCCCTAAACAGTTCAAAATAAATCAAAATATTTTGAAAATGTTATCATGTATATAAAATGCAAATGTAAGCAACCAGTGAAAATTTAAAGTTACATCAAAAACCAAATTCAATTTTGTGAAAAATCGATTTTTCATAAAAAAATTTTTTTCCTTAATTTTTCTTTTGTTTTTCTTGACGCTTTTGAAAATGACTGGAAATTTTAAATTTTAACCTCCCCAATGCACCAATGATATTCACTTTCCAATCGAACAAGATACTGTAGTTGAAAATCGAAGCATTATTTCGACTGCTTATAGTGTACACAGACACAAAAAAAAAATAAAAAAAAACATACATCATTGTAAAATCAATACATTCCACTCAGAAACTAAAATTTAGATTGTACCATATTTGTAATTTTTTATTAATTTACATAAAATAAAAAAGTTAAAATTCAAATGTCTAGAACAAAGGGAGCTAAATATTTTATATTGAATTTTAATACAACCAAAAAGCAAAATCAATTTTGTTGTGATATTCTTGTTTCAGTATTATTTTTATATTTACTTCTTTATATAAACTACTTTTGATCCTCCTGAGTATATACAATGCACTAGACCCGGCTAGCTACCCTGAAACCTCTCTCAAAGCGAAGATTGGAACTTTTTTTTTAGTACTTTTAAAGTATACACAAAGAATAAAAAACACTTGTTAAAGCAATACATTCTCGCTTTGCTAAGTATCTAAAAGGCTTTAAGGAGATAATATAGCACATTGGTCAACCACCCTTAAATATGCCACTGTCTGTAATCAACAAATCATAATATTAATAATATAAATGATGTATTTATTAGAATAAATAATTTAATGTCTTGTATTTCACTTTTATAGATAAGAGAACAAGTATTAATGGGAAGACAAAAACCTTCAGTTAGTGACAGAGTTAAAGAAAAAAATTTATCAAAAATTGCCACAAAGTAAGTCATTTTTCAATCGGATAGAATATATATTATTATTATTGTATCTATAATATTATATTGCATCAAAATTGTATAGGGGTGTTGTACAATTATTCAATTTAGTTAAGCAGCAACAAAGAACTGTAGAGAAGAAATTGAAAAATGTAGGACCATCGATTTTAAAACAAGATAAAGTGTTGGAATCGCTAGATAAAAAATCATTTATTGATTCCATTGATCATAGAAAAGTAAGTGCATACATTAATTTCTTCATTGCTTTATTTATTTTATTATTAATTCATTTTTTGTTATTAAAAAACGCTAAAAATATTATCCAGTTTTTAATACTAAAATTAAATTTGTAACATTTTTTTTTTAGGAAAATGATGAAAGTGGTTGGGATGTTCTTCGAGATGATTTTATGGGCGGAACTAAAATTAAAGATTGGGATAAACAGATTGAAAATGATAGTGAAGATGATGGCATTAATGTTTAAATTAAGTAACGGTTTTTCTCAATTTTAAATACTATATACAATTGAAAATAAATGTTAATATAACCTATTGGATGAATATTTGTAAATACATTTTAAAACATTTAATTATTTAAATAAAATAAAACTTTGACCAGATAATGACTTCAGTGTTTAATACAAATGATTTGGTAGTCACAAGAATTTAAGGAATGGACTTTTCTGATAAGTTTTATTAAAATTACATTTTTTGATGTATGTTGGTAACTTAGTCTTTATGGTAAATATTAATCATATTTACAAATTTCAATGAATCCTTGATTTGGAGACATTTAATTATATTAACGGTTGCTTATATAAACAGTTAATACTATAAAAATAATATTATTTAGTCTCTATGGAAAAATGAGTTTATTATTTTTGAATATTGTGATTTAGGTTAATGAATAAACCCATTTGTTTTACTATATAAGTAAATACTGAAGATTTAATTTTAGTTTTATATATTTTTGAAATATGAATTCATTGAATATCTTAACTAATGAATCAATTGTTTTTCACTTTCCAACAATATTTGAATATAGCTATGCTCAAACGCATTCAAATCGCTTGAGTCAATGTGGACCATCTTTTTCAAAGAATAAGGTATTTATCAATAATGGTGATACATTTAATGGAAAATATATCATAGAATATTTTAAAAAAACCACCAATATTAATGAATTAATTGATAATTCTGTTAATATCCCCAATACTATGCTTTTAAATAAGGTAAAAAACAACTTTTATAATACTGAATTACACAAAGTTAATGAATCACAAGACTTGTTATTATTAACTGAAATTATCAATACCATGAGTAGTATTGGACTTCTCACAAAAAAGCAGTATCATGAATTTTTAGATCAGCCTTCAGATACTATGAAAATAAATTATTTAAGGAATAAATGTATTCAACTTGGCATGTTATACAAACCTCATTTAATGCCATTACAACAACCAACAAAACTCAAAAAAAAAATTCAAGATGATGCAAATTTAAAAATAATTACAAGTTTGTTTAATGAACAATTTAGTAAAAGTCATGAACATTTAAAAGATTGTGAAGTGATAAAAAAAAATAAAATTTTAACCAAGTTAATGCAGTGTGGTGTTACTATATTTGACATCACAAATGATTTAGAAATAGAATTAGAAGAAGCTAGATTTTCTTTTAATTATGTATACAATGAATTAATTAATTATAGTGATGAAGAAATAATTAGATCCAAGGAAAAGGGAATTTGTAGAAAGTTCATATTAATATCAACTGCAATGACTTGGGTTAAAAAAACATGCAAAAATCACATTTATAGTGAGAATGAAGAGGTAAATACTAGTTTTACGGAAAAGGGTGTTTTGGAGCGATTGCCAATAGCTAAATATCAAATCATTTTTGAATTTGAGAAATTACTTTTAAAATCTAATTCTTCAAAAATCAAAGATATTTTTCAAACATATGTATTTGGTACTGGTATTATTTATGGTCATGAAGAAAATGCTTTACGTTATGTTTTTACCAGTGCTTGGCACAATCCTGAAGAAATGTATATTGCCATGTTGAATCGAACAGTGCCTGTGTTTCATATAGATGAATTAGCCAAATTAGTTTTTATTGTTTCAAAAAATGATTGTGTTAAGAATAACTATATACTAGCAGTAGAACAAGAATCATATGGTTTTAATAACATTATAAAATCCATGTGCGATGAACTTTGTAGTTCACACTTGGTTTTAAAGGAAGACAGTTTAATCACTAACCAATATAAATTTAACAGTTTTACATGGGATTTAATATGTAGCGACTTAAATATAGACTCTATGTTAGATATTATTGTACCCGATTATCAGATACTTCAAGCATCAATAATATCAAATATGAAAAAATTGACACTTGATTTTGTTGAAGCAAATAATTTATACTCTCTAAAAATTATAGTTAGTGGGCAACCAACAAATATGTCATCCAATATTGCCAAGCGTCTAGCTAAATATTATAAAGTACAATTAATTGACATTCCTAGCTTAATAAAAAATTGTTTCACATCATTGAAAAATGATCGAATTGAATTAGAATTAAAAATGAATGACTTATACATAAAACGTACCAATATCAAACATGCATTAGCTAAATTAACTGCTCAATTTGATGAATGGTTAGAACAGATTAATGAACAATTGAATGTAGATAATTATTCTTCTAATGAACAAAATAATAATGAAATGATAGATGATACTAAACAAAACCTTGAAATTATAAACAATAATACACACATTTCAGAAAATGAAATTTTAACAGACCCGTCAGAAAATAGTTTAAATCTCAATAATTTAAGATATGATAATTATTTTAAAGAGCACGACAATTATAAATTATTCACAAAAAATAAAGTAGATCTACTTGAAAAGGATACTGAAATTAATAATATTAAATTTATGATAGAAAATTTGAATGCAAAATATGAGGAATATGAAAATAATTTCAAGAAAAACAAAGGTCGGTTAGACGACTATTACTTATTGCCATTAATTAAAGAATCACTCTCTTCGTTCTCTTGTCGTAATCAAGGATATGTACTCGACTTTTTCCCTTTATATGTGGAGCAAATAGAATTTATATTTAATAATGATATTAGCTACCCAAATACTATTATTTTGTTATCATATAATCAAATAATAACAGATATTCAAAAATGTTGCGAAGACACTTGTTCGGCTATTAATGAAAAAAGTAAAATATGTTTAAATTACAAGAATTTAGAGCAAAACATGGCAATTATTTCTGGTAGTTTTAAATCTGAAAGCTCAGATATTTATCATGAAGAAGAAGTCTCTATAACTGGAACAAACATGCGTGAGAAAAATATAACGGAAAGTATTTATGTAAATAACAAACAAAAATATGAACTGACATCAATAAATTATTTGGAACATTATTTTACAAAAAAAGGTGTTATTGTACACAGATTAAATGTACCATTAGAATTGGCTGATGAAACAATATCTTATAATTCACAATACAAGTTTTATACAGATACTATAATATCCCTGATTGGCCGTAATCCATTTAAAGATATAAGATATGTGACTATTACAAATGATATTCAGAAATCAAAAAAAACAAGAAAGTTACAAAGAATATCAAACAAGTTGAATATGATGAATGAACAGTGGAAACAAGATATTAACAAAACTTTAAAGCAGGAAAAGAAACAAGAATATAGGAATTCAGTAAAGATTCATAATTTTATAAACAAAAATATTTTGCCAAAACTTTTAAAAGAAGTTTCCCCAGTTAATAATAGAGGTTCACATTTCCCAGAAAAAACATTGAATAAAACCAAATTATGCAATACACAACCGGATGAAAATATTACTCATAAGTCATAGTATTTTAATCACTAAATCAACTTAAAATAATACATTGGATATGAGTACATGACCATTCATATAAAAATAAATTCATAATACAGTCATAATGATACAATTGGTGACCTAAAGTTAGAAATTTAAAAATATGTACTTGAATAACTAGTAATATTTGAACATGTATACTGTTATTGATCTATACTTGAATACTTCTATACTAATATTATAAAGAGGAAAAATTTTTATGTCTGTAGACTGTAATAAATAAACTCAAAAACTACTGGACCGATTTCAAGAATTCTTTCACTATTAGAATACTACATTATCCCTGAGTAACATTACTACATTATCCCTGAGTAACATTACTACATTATCCCTGAGTAACATTGGCTAATATAAAAGGGTAAATTAGAGGTCCAACCCGGGGAGGTGTTCAAACAGTGATTTTGAGATTTATTATGAAAATGGTTGCTATTGGTTTTAATAATTATTATTATTAAAGCGATACGCCTACTGACACAGTGGCACTAATATGTATTTTAGTACAGAATGTCTCTAGTTCAACCACAGTTTCGGGGAACCAATTTTTTCCATTGATTTTCAATTGTTTTTTTTTCTTATTTTTCTTTTTTATCTATACATATTATGCATGTTTGGTTTTTTTATTCATCAGATTATAGATGGCCAACTAGATAATATACTATACACATAATCATAAGCGAATCTCACAGACAACTGGTCGGGACGGCTATACATAATTTACACTTAAAAAGACATTGCTTCCACAATGTGTTACACCCAAAAGTAGTAAGTTTGATTTTTAAATTTAAAGTGCCAATGTGTGAATAATGTTATTTTACATTACAAAATTCTATCTAATATAATAGAATTCAGAATATGTTGTACAAATACTCAATGATAATCGTAACTTCTGGTGGCAACCAATTGGTTCAGACCACATCCCTCAATTACTCGTTTTTTTATTGTCTACGGCCAGTGTAACTAACAATCGGCTGCAGCTGAATTATCACTTTACACTTTATAGCATTTATCTTAGCAAAATGCAAGCATGACGGTTATTGGAATAATAAAGTATTGCTCACAATAGCATGATGCATTAGTATGCACGCACTCGATGAGTGCATACTTCACACCCATTTCTGCTGACTTACACAGAAGCTTGCCACTCGTGGTTACTCTTATATGAGTCTGAGCAAAGTCATCAATTACTTTAATTACTAATGTTGTAAATACTTAAAATGTTATTAGATATTGTAGTAGAAATGTATATACATATGAATAAAGTGTTTTAATTATTTGGATAAAAATTATATTAATTCAGAAAACAAAGAAAAATTGGAAACAATTTTTAAATAGAATTCGGTGTCTCACGTTGTACCATTGTCCATTAGTGTGACTAATCAAAGTTGAAATACTTTAGTACTATATAACATGTTATACAGGTAAATGCAATGTTTAGATTACTATATTTCAAAAAAAAAAATTAAAATTACTAATACATGGTTTTTGATATTTACATAAACACACAAATTATTATTAAATATTTCAATAGAAATATAAAACAAATAACATAATAGTGACTAGAAAAACAGTAATTGTTGAATTTACTTTGAATTTTAAACAAAATAATATTCAAATTTTTAATCATGTTAAGAATTAATAAGTATTTAAAAAATGAATGTCTAAAAAAACTGGTTTAAAAACGAGCTAATAATATAGGTACTACAATAAAAGATATAATTTATTATGTGTCACTATATAATGCTTTTATACAATTATATTTATATATGATTATCATTATGTCTATACTTCTTCCGGCTTAGATATTTTTTTCACCATTTCATTGATCATGTCATTGTCAATGAGTCCAATAAATTTGTCAATGACATGACCATCGCGAATGGCTAAAACAGCTGGAACTGCTTTTACCTCAAATGTGTGAACCAAATCAGCATTCTTTTCAACATCCACTATTGCTAAATGTACAGACGGTGAGTCCCCAACCATCTTTTTTAACATTGGTGTTAATGTTAAACAAGGCTCACACCACTCTGCATGGAAGTTGACGATCACAGGAATATCACTTTTTAATACATTCTGTATAAAGTCTTCACTGCCACATACTGTGAATGATTTACGATAGACACGACCCACTGACATTGATCGTTTAGTTGTTTGATGAACTTTTTCCAAACAACGAAATCGGTTGAAGGACATTGTTTATGTTATAGTTTATAGTACCCAAGATTTAAGTTGTGGCACAGTTTTACGACTCATAACATGCGAAGAGAACAATGCAGCTAATCCTATTGCTGCACTTACAGAAAGTATGCTCAGAGTTGCTAAACGCCAAACATACAGCGGATCTACAATCTGAAATAGATAATTAAAGTTATTTATACTTAAATAATATGAAAAAATAAAAATAAACTAAATAGGTATATCTTGTATGATTCGTACCTTTATATCTGGTTTAGGTGTTTCTACCGAACTACGAGGTATTGAAAGTAATATAATTGTAATAAGGATTGTAGATACCAAAACAATTGGTCCAATACTATGTCGTGTTCGAAGAGACAGAAGACACAATATAAAAGATGAGAACCAAAGTCCAATTAAAATAATAGCACCTATACCAATCGCTGCAGAAGACATCTGACCTTTAAAAAAAAAATATTTAAGTAAATGCAATATGAAATGATCAACTATCATGTTAATTATTTGTAATAATCTAAACATAATGCTGGGTAATAATGGTTTCTATTAGATAGTTATCTTTTCTTTTTTTTTAGTTTTAATAAAATCTTATTTATATGGTTGGATATGAACTGGAAAAGAATTTAATATATTTAAATTTAAATTTATAACCATTTAAAGTTAGTTTATCAATTATTAACTTATGTTCTTATTTATTGGTGATCAAACTTTTAAAATGGTATATAATAAATAATAATAAAATGGTCTTTTGTAATATAAACAGTATTTATTCCTTATAAATAATAATATGGGTATACCTAATCATCGTTACAAAAATTCAACCTAAACGTATACGTGTACTTTAGATAAAAAATATTTAAACAATGAAACATCAAAAATTAATAATACCACATTATTCAATTATTTATCTTACCTATTATTTGTATAGGTATCTTTATAACTATTGTTTTATGATTTTTTACTAAACTTATCCTTACCTGATGTTTTGTCATAATTTTAGTTATATTTAATAAGTATATTCAGTAAGACAAATAAGAAATTAAACCACTGAAATAATATTATATATTTAGATTACTTGATTATAAAATTAACAAATATAATATTATGATGTTGAAGCCCGAAGGTTCTTAAATAATGGTATAAGTAATAAGTACTAATAACACTGAAATCGGGAAAACCAAACAATATAATATTAAGTGGCTTCTTTTTTTTTATAGTTATTAGTTATTTCTTAGTTATTACTAATGAGTAAATGTAAATACTAAATAGTAAAATATAGTATATAGAAACAATTTGTTATAATCATTAATTACCACAGGTTATCAACTATCAAGTTTCCGATCAGCTGCTTTTACTTTTTATAGTTTACGGCTTACGTCACGACGTAGATAATTATACGCATGTCGCATACGGTGTCAACTACCATACTACCACGACGGACACGCCGGACTAAAGGCGGCAAGGCGCCTTCACAGTTCACAGCAGGCTCACGCCTCACCGTGAAACGTGAAACGTGATAATATATAATTTGTTCCCGTAAAAATATTCTTAACCACGGCTGTCAAGTGTCAACCATACGGTAAACACACGCTCTGAGTAGGATTGAACTCAACTATACGGTATAAGCGGTATAGATAAGGTATTAAAGGAGCACACAACACAAATAAAAAAATTCTTTAAATTTTTTTTAAATGTTAAATTATTGTAGTTATGGTCATATGAAATGATTTTGTGAAGATACGATGTAAAAAAAAATATTACTTTAAGAGATATTAAGAGATGTAGAAGGGAACGTATCATTTTCCCGAAAATAAAGGAACCGAACGTTAGTAATCCATAAATTAAATTTAACAGAAAAATATAGTGATAGAAAATAAAACGACAGAAAGAAAAATTACAGAAAACAAAACACATGGAAATTAATGTTCCAGAATTGTTTTCATATTGAAAATAAAATGAACATAAAATATGTGTACAGAATTTTTATCCCAGAAAGTTAAAAACCTGAAATTATAATCACAGAACGTAGTTATACAGAAAGTGATAACGTCGACCATAATTTTCCAGAAAATTAAATTCCATAAAGTTTAAAGCCTGAAATTATAATCACAGAACGTTGTATTACAGAAAGTGATACTGTAGACCATAATTTCCCAGAAAATTAAATCTCAGAATTTAGAAAGTTAAAATTTTGAAATTTCGTATAGGTACGAGGTACCTATATATTATTTACGTATATTTACGCATAGGCTATATTTTGTGGATATACATAGGTGCAACTATGAGGAGGGGTTTTAAAACATTTCAATAGCCCCCCCCCCCCCCAATATTACCTAACAGTTTTTTAAACTTCTTCAATATTATTATAGTAGGGTTTCATCTGCCCTCAAATTTCAAACGTTATTTGTGTCAATGCCTTTATACTTTATAGCTATATCAAACCCTTTAATAATGCTTGTTGTCATCAATCATCATTTTGGAAACTACATTTTGTTCCACATTTTTTTTTCCAAGTCAACTTTCAACTTATTCCATTGATATTAATTTCCAAGTTTTACCTTTGTTCCTATTTACATTCGTCGAAATACATTTGTTTCAATTGACATCCATTCAATTATATATCTTCTTACATATATCTTTGTTCCGATGAACGTTTGTTGTTCCATAATTTATTTGTTCCACAGGATTTATTAATTTATTATACAAAACATTTGTAACAAATGTCCATTCGCATATTATAATGGTCTTGGAGTAAAGATTAATCAGAAAATAAATTCCCGGAAAAACATTTGAACTGCATTTTTTATTTATTCATAAACCCCACACTTTAAGCTTGTACATTATAAGGTATTAAGATTTAAAGGTATTAATATGGTATATTGGTATATTATGCTTATAGCAACTAGCAAGGTAATCTCAAGGGGAGCTTGTTCATATTCATATAATGCTAGGTATTCAGTAGGTATTCTACCTAGTAAGTAGCCCCTCACTCCACAAAAAAAAAAACAAATAACAAAACATTATTTATGTATAAGGCAGAGGACTTGTAGCATTTGCATATTTTTTTTGCACAGTCACAAAAATAGCAGAGTGCGAAACAAATACGTTTCATGCTTCCACAAAGCTAGTTTTGAAATTTTATTGTGCATATAAATGCATATTTTGCGTTTTTTAGGTTTTTAGGGCATATTTTGCGTTTTTTTTAGTTTTTAGTGCATATTTTGCGTTTTTTCGGTTTTTAGGGCAAATTCTTCCATTTTATACTTTTAGATGCATATTTTAAATCATTTTTCATTTTATCAATATTTTTTGTCAACGTTTTTATTTATTTATTTATACAACCAAAATAACGTTGGATTTAAAATTATTTTAAATTTTGATCATAATATTAATATGGTTATATACAGACGCAGACGCTTTTACACAGACGCATGTTTTTCCTAGAAAAACATCTCGAGAGTTGCCGATTAGATTGATTGTTGGGTTATTAATTTTATTTATAGACAGTAAGATAATATTGTTCAACTCACAAAATATCGATATGAGCCTGGAACATGTATTAATTAAAATAATAACTACCTACAGAAAAATCCTTATTTTTTATTCAAAAATATTCATTTTTAATGCATATTTTAGATTCTGAGTGAAACGATGAATGTATTGATTTTACAATGATGTGTGTTTTTTTTTTTATTTTATTTTTATTTTTTTTGTATCTGTGTACACGATAAGTAGTCGAAATAATGCTTCGATTTTCGACTTCAGTATCTTGTTCGATTGGAAAGTGAATATCGTTGGTGCATTGGGGAGGTCAAAATTTAAATTTCCCAGTAGTTTTCACAAGCGCCGGGAAAAACAACATAAAAATTAAGGAAAAACGGGAATTTTTACGCAAAATTGATTTTCCAAAAAATCGATTTTGGTTATTGGTGTAACTCTAAAACAAATGAACGTATATACATGAAATTTTCACTGGTTGTTTATATTTGCATTTTCTATACACGATAACATTTTCAAAATATTTCGATTTATTTTGAACTGTTTAGGGACATTTTCATTTTCCATTTTTTTTAGTTTTTTTTCTAAAAATTTCAATAAAATTTTATTTGTTGGTTGCGAAAGCTTGAAAATTTAATAGAAGGCTCCTAATATGTTGTTTCAAAGGCAGATGAAAAATATTAAAAATCCTTAGTCACAATTTTTTTTTATAAGCATTTAAAGTTCAAAAATTGACAAAATATGGAAAAATCAAGAAAATTAGCAAATTATTTTGAGTTAAGAATTCGTAAAAATTTTTCTTTTTAAATCTAAGATTTGAAAATCTAATACAAGATTACTCATAAGATTGTCTACCTTTATCAATAAAAAAATTTCTACCGGAAAGTCAAATTAAATTTTTATGAGCGTTTGAAATTGAAATTTTTACAACATTGGATATTCACTCGATTTCTCATGTGGCAATTTCCTTTTTTTGTTGTAATTAAAAAACGAATTACTGTAGATACATGCAAATTTCACTGAATGTTTATATTAGCATTTCCTATACACCCTACAATTTTGAAAATATTTTGACTCTTTTTGAGCCGTTTACGGACATTTTCAGTTTTCAATTTTTTTAGTTTTTTTTTTCTATAAATATCAATTAAGTTTTATCTGTTCGGCCAAAAAGTGTAAAAATTTAATACAAGGCTCCTGATATATTGTTACAATATCAGTTGAAAAATATTAAAAATACATAGGCACAATTTTTTTTTATAAGCATTTTAACATCGAATTTTGATAGAATTTTTCAAAATCTCGAAAATTATTAATCATCGTAATTAATAAATTATAAAATGTTCAGTTTTTATAGCTAAGGATTGAAAATTTAAAACAAGATTCCACGTAAGTAGTTAATTCTCTTACCGAAAAATCTAAAAAATATACAATCACAGTTTACTTTTATAGTCATTTTATGTTCAAATTTGGACGAAATTACATATTAAAAAACCTAGTTATTTTGTTGTGATTATATAATATTATTCGTGGGTACCTACTTGAAACTTCTAAAGTGTACTATTATATATATATGATAGTATCAGGGTTTGTTGTTGATGTTGATGTATAACGTGTTATAAGTACCTAATGGATATTGTGATAATGTGATATGATTAATTTGGAATTTATTATAGGTCAATTTTTTTTTTAATACCATAGATATGTATATAATTTGTCTTAAACCTAGACTGACATACCGTCTTCGCTCAGAATCGTTTTTCTTATACAATGTTATTGTATCATTGAATTCAAATTTAATAGCATCCATTATACAGTGACCCACTTGTAACCTACTGTACAGCAGAGCGACATCCACTTACCCACCTTTTTTATATTTTAGTGCATATTTTTAATGCATATTTTGCATATTTAAATGCATATTTGGTAACTTTTTAGAGCTA